TCATAGCAAATTGTTGAGTTTGTTACACGAATTTCTTTCATTTGTTCTAGAAAATTATGCAAAATATGATTTCAATCAAGATCTCCGCTGGAAAAGATATAAATCTTAGTACAGTTGTCAGTTGACACCTCACAGTTGAATTTGAATAGACTGGGAAAAAATGCTGCTTTAGGAGCTTTTGAGTAAGAGAAATAAGCATTTTTGTTGTGGGAAGCATAGAAGAATTGCAGGAGATTGTCAATGGTGTTATTTGCACTGGGCCTTCAATATCTTCTAAAATGAGTTGACAGGATGCTGAAATTGGACACAAGAGTTCCTTTTTGTCCCAATCAGTCTTTCCCCTCCTTTCCAAGCGCAAAATTATTTTCAATATTTTTTATTCTTCCTGTGTCAGGAAGAAGAGCCTCAAAAAATTAACAGTGGAAGATCAAGAGGTAAAGCCATCAAGTTGGAGAGGTTTTTCAAGCATTGCTTCTTAGCCAATGCATGATGCACAGCACAGTGTTCCTGGCAGTCCTGCAGAAAGCTCTGGATTTTTGGGGGGATTTCAGTTTGACCAAAGGTCACTGAAATACATTCAGGTTAGGAAGGCCTGAGTTGGTAAAAATCAGGGAAGGGTGAATTATTTTGTATTCCAAAATCTCCAATGCTAATCCTATGCAGGGAATTCCTGAAAAAGCCACCCAGTGAGGAATTTTTCAGGCACATTTTTCTGCATGATTATAAAAAAACTTGAAGTTTTTCTTGACTTAAGCCTTGGTGCAAACGTGGATTTTTTTTTCAGTGGTCATGGGCACAAATTTTTGTGAAAATATCCCAATTTTGCTGTACAAGAGTTAGAGAAATCAGAAAGGGACTTGGAAAAATATTTGATTTGGGGAGGTATTTGATTTATGGTGGTTCATTTTCTCAGTGTTGAACTGTATTTGGAGACGGCAATAAATCAGCAACAGGATATGTATTTTCAAGAAAGGTTTTAAAAGTTCCTTGAATGAAGGATTGCTTAACCCTTGGACAGTGGCAGCCTCTCATCCTTTCCATACCATATGGCAAAGTTAGGAATTGATTTGCTCATGGGCAAATTTAAGTTCAAAAAAAGTTGCCAAAATTAGCCTCAATTGAGAATACCTACAGTATATTGAGAAGGATGGAGGAAGAGTAAATGCTTTTGTCTTCAGAAATCTTCAATCCTG